TTAGGACATGTTTAAAACCAACATGCATGATACTGGTGTTGCTCGAACCGTAAGAACGGTAGAATTTGAAGAAGAGGTTCATCAGCGAGTTGCCTATGAATCACCAAGTAATGGCTTCTTCATCAAATGGCGGCACAACCAAATTTTTTACGCTATGTTTTATGGACCGATGAAGCCTCTTTCACAAGAGACGGTATTTTTAATAGTAGGAATAGCCACGTTTGGGACAAAGAAAATCCCCATGCAATTTTTCCCTGAAAATATCAGCAACGTTGGTCTGTCAACGTATGGGCAGGCATTGTAGATGATTATTTGATTGGGCCATACCTTCTACCGGAACGATAATAGGACCTATTTACCGGCGTTTCTAGGAGGAAGTTCTTAGAGGACTTCTTGAAAATGTTCCAATGCTCGACAACAAATGTGGTTTCAGCATGATGGAGCGCCGGCTCACGTTGCTATACAAGTACGTGAGTATTTGGCTCAGCGTTTTGGGCACCGTTGGATTGCCAGAGGTGTAGCAGTTTCTTGGCCTCCTAGGTGACCCGATTTAACGTCGCTAGATTTTTTCCTGTGGGGACATGTAAAGTATTTGGTTTACGAAACTCCAGTAGAAACGAGTATCAAATTTTTATTCAAGTGATTTTCGATAAATCCGTTGTGGAAGGTTTTCAAATGAACATTCTGTATATTCGCAATGCAATCAAATTATATAATTCTTCAGACTGTGGTTTAAAGAAACCAATAAATTACCTAAATTAAAGAAAAATATGAAAGAAATTAGGGGCCGTTCAAGTATTACGTAAGCAGGTTTATTACAATAATTTGCCCCCCCCATCCCCCTTGTCAGCAAAAGTAAGCAAAGCTCTTACCCCCTCGCCCCATGCTTACGTAAACGTTTGTCAATTAATGTATTGTTTTTTTAATATTATAATTGAAGGGTATGCCGGAACAACGTTCTAACCGACAGTTTGGTCAAAAGTGGGATTTCTATAAAACAAGGATCTATGTATCCATTCGCATAACCTCCCCCTCTTTCAAGCTGAGAATCACAAATTTAATCGGTGTCCAGACGTCTAAATGATTCAGTGAATCTTGATATCCACGTAACAACGTTGTATGTGCACGCGCCGACAGTTCTCAGCAAGTTTGTTTTCGAAACTACCACAGCCCACGTGGTTTCTGCAAGATGAAAGTTAGCTTATCAGAGTCTATTATTAGTCATATGAACAGAGGTAAAAAACGAAAGCTAAAAATTGACACCTGGAAGCAGACTGTAAGAAAACATCAGAGGGATGCAGGAGAAGCATACATTTCATCGAGAAACGTACCTAAGGCTGCGTTAAGCCAGCCAGAA